TGGCAGAGGGCCGAAGAGAAGCAGCGCTGATCAGACTTGAAGCGTATCAGCAGCAGCTCATCAGAAGTTTCAATCAAAAAGTTTTTCCAAGGCAATTTACATCTGGAGAACTGGTTTTGAGGAAAGTTATGGATCACAAAAGGATACCAGGCGAGGGCAAACTTGGGCCTAACTAGGAGGGTCCGTACAAAGTCACAGTTGCTATCGGAAACGGAGCTTACTACCTAGAGGATTTGAAAGGAAGAGCTACACCTTGGCCCTGGAACGTAGCAAATCTCAAGAAATACTATCAATAGAATTATCCCCCAACTTTTCTATCAGAATGTAAATGCATTTATCCATTGACCAATGCAAATGCTTTCCCACTTCTCTCAAATCTATCAAATTCTTGTAATTAGCTTTGATGTTTATTAAACGGAATTAGCTTTGGTTCTTACCATACGGAATTAGCTTTGGTTCTTATCAAACGGAATTAGCTTTGGTCCTTACCAAACGGAATTAGCTTTGATGTTTATCAAACGGAAATAACTTTGGTCTTAACCCAAATGGACTTAGTTTCAGAATGACTGGACATAATTTAAATTTGGTTAGCACTCAAACATGCCAAGTGGTATTGCTTGGTGGAATTATGTTTGGCAATTGAATTGGATGTTAGCCAAGTGGAATTGCTTGGTGGAAACCACACAAACATATCTTAAGTAAACATCTCTATTTAGCCAAGTGAAATTGCTTGGTGGAAACCACACTAACGTATCTTAAGTAAACGTTTCTGGATCCACAGAATTCCTTAAGTATCAACACATTAACACTTCAGTACTATTGCACACCAGCAGAGTTGGAACAAGCATGACCAGGTTCTGTCAGGAGTAAACTTCCAGCATTAGTCTTACTTAAACTCCAGGTGAGGGCAAACAACTGTTTTCAAAAAACCAACTTGGACCTGAGTAAGACACCTCTTCGTGCCATTATCGCATTCAAATGCATTTGCGCTATCAGAATTGCAACAGACTTAAGCAGCTCTACCTAAAGAGCACAGTCTTCAGTACCGATCTTACGTAGCTCCAGGCGGGGGCAAACAATTGTTTTTCAGAACCAACCTGGACCTAAGTAAGACCCACTTACGAACTCAAGCACAGCCATACCACATATCCATTAGCCACACTGAGCATCTGTTCGGCCTCGAGGTCCCAACAGTGCTCGGCCAGGGGCAACCAGTACCAAGCCACACCAAGCATCAGTTCGGCCCCGAGGCCCCAACAATGCTCGGCTGGGGGCAGGCAGTACAGAATCAGACATAGCATCTATTTAAAAGCAGTACAGAACTAGACTGAGCATCTATTCGGCCCCGAGGTCCCAACAGTGCTCGGCCAGGGGCAAGCAGTATAGAAAACATTCAGACATAAAAGTCAAACAGCATCAGATTGCAAGTTCAAAGAGAAAATTCTATCATCCAACAAAAGGCACAGATGGTCTCATATCTAGCAGCAAAGAAAAGAAAAATTGTCTTGGCAAGTGCAGAAAGAAAGCTCGTCATGGAGACCGAGCCACAATACACCAAAAAAAAAAAAAAAGCAAAAAGTTCAAATCCTTTCAACATCAACTTTCATTAACAGAGGGAAACTCAAGAGCAGCATCAGCAATTTTGTCCAGGCCATCTGCGGGAGGAAAAGTAGAGGAAGCTCCACCTTCCTAAGAAGTAGGAGCCTCTTTAACCACATCTCCTGTGGCTTCGGTCTCTAGGGTTTCAATCCCTTCAATGTCCACCGTTTCAGCGGCAACATTCTTGTCCTGGCTCTTGCTTGCAGAATCATCTTCTGGGGAAACTTCGGCTAGCAGAACAGCAGGGGTGGAAACAGTCTTCAGACCCAAGGATCTCGAAGGAACGGGGACATCATGAAACAAGGAAGAGCCTTCAGGAACCAGCGCAGCAGCCAAGGCACTCGTCCAACCCTTTACAAAGAGCTTATCTCGTAGCACTAGCACCTCTTCCTTATAGACAGCCCCAGCTTCATCCCAACAAGGAAGAGCCTTCAGGAACCAGCGCAGCAGCCAAGGCACTTGTCCAACCCTTCACAAAGAGCTTATCTCGCAGCACTAGCACCTCTTCCTTATAGGCAGCCCCAGCTTCATCCCAACCCTGTTACCAGTGTTTGGCCTCTAACGCAGAACGCTCGGCAGCCATCACGGCAATAACGGCCTCCAGTTCGGCCACTTTCCCCTCGAGTTGAGCTTGTGACGTGCCCCAATAGCAGCCTCCTTCGATTTTTCAGCTGAAGCGACAATCTTGTTCAAACGAAATGCTTCCCTCTCAGCGGTTCGGCGTCCCTCCTTCTCTGTCTCCAAGCTTATCGTTAGTCTCTTAGCGTTCATTGCGGCCTCTAGCACGGCCCTTTCTAGCTCTTCAGCACGGGTAACGGATAGATGCATTCTCTGAATACATTGTAAAGGACAACAAAGAATTAAGAAAAAAGGAGACAGCAACGCAACAATAAAGACTAGTAAAACGAGGAAACACTTACAGCAGTCATCATCTGAAGGTTCCCCTTCAGGATAGGAATATCACGGGGCCCATTATAGCCAGCCATATCAACCGGCATCAACAAAAATTTAGTCAAATCAAAGGCAAAATCTTGTGAAGCGACAACTGAATTAGAAGTGGAAATAGGCCTACCTTCATGCGATATTGGTGGCTCCCATTTCTCAAAAGCCTCATCCTCAATAGGATCCTCAGAAGCTTCCCTCATCACTGCTTTGCCAGCCTCTCTTCTTCTCCTTTTTGCTTGCGCAGCGGCTGAGGCTAAGGGCTCGGCAGTAGTTGTAGGGGTCCTAGAAGCTCCCACCTCCATCTTCACTTCCAACAGGCTCTTCGCCTCGGTCCTTTCCAGAGGGGTTTCCAAAGCATCGGAGGCTCCGAAGGCCTCGGCCTCTAAATCCACCAACACCACCCTTCTCTTCGCCACAGACCCGTCCCCTGCGAAACTAGGGGCAGGGGAAGGCGCTCTCTCAGAAAGTGCACCCTGACTCCTGCGACGACTTGTGACCAAAGGAGTGAGAGATGTGTCAGTCTCGGTATCGGAGTCCAGAAGGGTAGTAGCGAGCCTCGCCTTCTTTGGAATAATGGAGCGGTAAGTTGACTGGTAATCCAATAACTCAGGTGCAGATCTCTTTTTATACCTCAGGGCAGCTTTTATGGCTTCAGCATTCTCTCGGTTCGGTCTTTGTTGGAAACGAGAGGACTTTGCAAAGAAGAAGTGACCCATTAGAGCAATACCCAAAATAAAGTAAGAAATACAAAAGGCATCAGAAGAAGAAGCCCGAACATGGGTAGTCGTCTTTCTGGGGCATCCGCTCAGACTGAAACTCAGTTCCGGCAGGGAACTCCCAGTTTCCACCATCTTGTAGGAAACTATGAAGCACGGGTACTCCAAAAATGGTGCCGTACTCGTACCGGGTACTTACCGGGTGCTGGTACGCGTACCGGTATGGCTGCACGCGTACCGGATATGGCAAACAGTGTCTCGGTACGTTTGGGAGAACTGGTACGGCTTGGGTACGCCGTGGGTACGCCGGGGTACGGCAGAACTCAGTTGTTCCGAACACAGAAGAGAAGAAACAGAGAAGAGAGGAGAGAAGAGAGGAGTACCTGGTTTGAAGCTCCGACGGCTCCGACGACCTTCGATCGACCTCGACGACCTTCGATTGACCTTTGACGACCTCCGACGACCTTCGCCTTCTCTTTCTCTCTCTCTCTCTCACTTCGCCTCTTTCTCTCCTCTCTTCGACTCTGTTTCTCTCTTCGACTCTGTTTGAAACCTAGATATAGATATTATATATAGATATATATATATAGTATAAATTATAATTTATATTATATTATTATAACTTTTTATTTTTTTATTATATATTTTTATTTATGTTTTTATAAATTATACTTATATATGTGTATGATATGTTTTTATTTATATATTATATATATAGCCTTTATAAATTATTCAAAAAAATAGATCAAAAAAATTAATAAATTAAAACACAAAAATTAATAATCAATCATACTTATATAATGTTAATAATCAAAAAAATTAATTAGAACAAAATTATAAAAATTAATTAGAACAAAATTAATAATCAATCATACTTTTTAGTTTTGATATTTAATTTCAATTTGTAGGTTGGATCTTTTAACCATAATTATAAAAAATAAAAATAAATAAAAAAAAATCGGCGTACCGCAGCCGTACCCGTATCCTACTTTTTTGAGGTTTTGCCGTATCGACGTACCCGCACTCGTACCCGTACCGTACTCGTACCCGCACCTGTGCTTCTTTGGTAGGAAATCATCGTTGTGTTTATCCGAATCAGGTAACCCGGTAACCAAATGCCAATCAAACGAGCGAACACGGAAGTAGTATGTGCTGTGGTCTTTGTTATGAGAAAGAGTATAATAACCTAAGATATCCCATATGTCAAGGTTCAAACCCAATCGTCTATTGAGGGAAGATACGCCGCAAACAACACGGAAAAGGTTTACAGACACTTGCATTGGGGTTAACTGGACTTGATGCAGAAACCGGCGCACCAACGGGTCAAGAGGAAACTGAACCCCTCCCTCGACTATGGCCGCGATGGGAAAGGCAATGGTGTTCCTCATGCCCATACGCTTGCTGTTTACTTTCGCCAACGAAAGGGTAACGTCGTTGGGAATATTATAGTCCAGGTGAAACATAGCCATGGCCTCAGGAGTATCAACCAGGGAACGAAACTTCCCCATTTGACAAACCTAATGGGACAGAGGTAGGCCTCAGATAACAAGAGTATGGAATGCAGACAGCGAGTGGGCCAAACAAGATGATTTAAGACAAAAAGAGGCAAGAAAAGAAGAATCGCAAGAGGACTTACAGAGATTGGAGCAGTGGTAGCAAAGCAAGGCTAGAAGTGAAGAAGGCTGAGCAGAGCACCAACGGGCTCCCTGAAATCTCGGCGGTTTCATCTTCTTGAACTCTCTGATTAGAGGAACGAAAAGAACAGGTAAAAGGATTTGAAATGACAGCCAGAGCATTTATTGCACCAGCCGGCGCGCAGGTACACGAAGCACAACCTTCGGTATGGAATCGACGCACCATCTCTGTACACCTATCCCTTGTCGCCACGTGTTACGCGAAAGGACACATGCAAGAATCGTGTGTCAGGATTGAACCGTCACCAAGGCTGAACTGGGGGAGAATTGAAACGACGCGACACTTGGAGAGCAGAACAATAGCTCCCCCCAAGGGGAACCTTAGCGTGAGCTAGGGGGCAAATGAAGGGGCTAAATATGAAATGGGTCGGGTCTAAGCCTTGGGCCGGCCCAATCCACTGAAGTCCAAATCTAAGTGGGTTGGGTGAGTACATGGGCAAGCCAGTTGAGCCCAACTTCATGATCAACAGTTCACCCAAGTCCTCAAGCACTTGGGCCGAACCCGCAGTGGAAAAGCTAGTTCAGCCATGGTGCTGGGCTGGGCCGAGTTACGAAACTGAATCTATGGGCTGAACAGATGACGGGCCGAGCCCATACAAAGATATCTGAATGGACCAGCTCATCTCCATAAATGATCCTGTAAAAGGCCGAGACAAGGCATAATGATGCCGAGCTGAGGCACATCGGTATTGAGCTAAGGAAACCTCGCAGGGAAACGTGGAAGTTGTGAATGTGTGCATGTGCAAGTTGCCACCTCAGCTGGTCGCCTACACCTAGAATCATGGAAGTTGTTGAACCAAAGGAATGTGGTTTGTTATCAGCATGACTACAATGAGTATATGCATTCAATACAACTACCAAGTGGTCCCCCACTTGGAGCAATGCTGAAAGGACACCTGGCAACATTCAAGCTCCACGAAACCATCTTGAGAAGCAAGTAAGGAACACTATACATACTCCATAAACTTCACATTGAAGGCAACTGAATAGAGTAGAACTATTCTAATAACATTGACATACAAACTCAATTAACTTCATCTTTTCTCCGATCACTAATTCCCACACCGGAGGGGTTATCTGGCCAACCCCGGCCGGACAGCTCTAACGGTGCTTCTTGTGGCAGAAATCTCAGTCCCTGGATGGTCCAACCGAGTGCGGAGCCCCGATCCACTTTCATCTAGTGCGGAATCCGGTACGCACAACGTGGATGCAAGAAAACATGCTTGTTTATATATGTTTTGATCTTATTTTCACTTTTTGTGGCTGTAGAAATTAATGTTTAGTATATAATATATACTCACCCTCTATGTTAGAATCTTGGATCTGTCCCTGTGTTGAGTTGTTGGGATTGTCTTGACGTCTAGTAACTCGAGGTAGGGAGAGTTTTTCAGCTTGACCTGGCAGATGTCAAAGTCGGAGTGATAAGCTCTTTATTGAATGATTATGGGAAATTGTCCTAATCTTATCTGACTAGCATGGTCTATCTCATATTTTACATTATAAGAGGGTCTCCTCCTCCTTGGACAACAGGCTTCAACCATCTTTTAATATAGAATTCTCAATGCCTTTCTCTCTGATCCAGCTTGTCTTGCTCTTCACCTAGTGATGGTCACTACCATTGTCGGTTGTGGTCCTTTTACTATATCCATATTCCAGGTGCTCTCAGATAATGAACCCTTTACAGAAAGTTTTAGTCACTGTATCAGCCAGACAGCTGAATATAATAAGAATGATAAAAAAAGCCTTAAAACAGAAGAAACTTATAAAAATTTAGACTGTTTGCTTATATATTACATTTTCTTGTATATTATCTCTCATATTGTGCTCTATTTTTAGAAATAGAAGAACTCATGCTTACTTTAATTGCAGACATTAACAGTATTGCTCATCAACGAATTGCTGGATGCCAAGGCCTTGAACTCTGGTGGTTCTGTGACTCTGGACATACCATGTGATCTACCTAATTCAGAGAAAATGCATGTCAAATTTAGCAAGATCAGTCCAAAAGATGGAGCTAGAGCATGTGATTTAACTAATCAAAGAAGCGAGCACAATGATGATTATAGTTATAGAAGGTTATCCAACAGGTCATCAGATATGAGCACTGTTAAGTCCATCATCGGATCCAGAAATGCATTGCTACTGATTGCCATATTTTTCACAGCAATAACTTTCCAAGTCCCATTTCACTTCCTTGGCCCCAAAGAGGGCTACGTTCATACCTACATGACGGACAGCATCCAAGTGAATAAACAATATCCACTGTTTCCTTGTACGTTCCTGTTGTTCAATTCCATGGTGTTCATTGCATCAGTGATCATGACTCTATTCCTACTGCATGAATTTCCTTTCAAGCCATGGCCTCAAATCTCAGTTTTGGCTCTGTTTGGTTCTTATATGTGCTCAATAAAGGCAATATCGCCCAATGGAGCCCGGGCTTTGCTCCTCATATCAATTCCCTTTTCGTTATTGGCAGCTGCTGGAAAACTTTATGGCTTTGCAAGACACAATTTTACGTGAGCACCCCCAGGTATGTGTGAAAAAAAACCTATATCCAGTTTCTAGTCAATAATGTTTTGTGAAAACAATCTATCTTATTTCGAGTTGATTGTGCTCATGTGTAATTATATGGCTGTATGGCTGGCTACACACAGTGGAAAGGTCTCTATTTTATATTTAGTAATGCACAAAAAACAATTTAATATATCACTATGTCTGTGCTGAAAACTATTTCTAAATAAGAGTTACAATTGATTGTAATAAAAGGAGTTAGATGAATTAGTGTGTTTTGTTCTGTTGTTTATCCTAGATAATTTAATAATATTTCCCTGCTCACCAAACATTTTAATAACATTACTCTGCTCTTTCAATCTTTTCATTTTGGTGTGCAAAACGTCTGTTGGTGCTGTCTCCTTAGGTCTTAGCAATCTCCCTAATCTTTTAATACAAAGCAAGTGAATGGAAGGTGTTAATTAGAATTGTAGACTTCGTCTAGAAAAGTTCTGTACCATCATAGTTGCCAAGTACTAATCTTCACCACTTTTGGATTACATATTAAAAAAAAAAAGAAAAAAAAAAAGAGAAGCAAATTACTGTGACTTTCTCCTGCAACTGGTACAAACTACAGTAGCGCCATTAATTTTACATAATTACACTAATTTCCCATTCCCTGACTTCTTCTGGTTAAAAGGTTTAATTTCAAGAGTTGGTTTAGAGTTCCCTCAGATAGAAAAGAAATGTTGTAACATGTGTATTATTTTCAATTTTAAACCGAAAGGTATTTGATTTAAAATAGACAAGACAACCTTGTTTGTTATAAAGGGGTATGTCGAGCTCTATAAATATGGAATACTCCTAGCCACATTGTATATAGTTTTCTCTCTATTTTTAACATCATTTTTTTTTTCCTTCATATTTTAAGCAATTGATCGCGAGCTTTGTGAAATTCTTTTAAGAGTGGCATTGCTCGTATATTTATATTTATATTTATATTTGTGTGGCTTGATTGTTTGTTGAAAAGCAATAATGCTTTTATATTGAAAAAAAATGCATATGTTAAATATTATTCATATGTAGTTTATGTGGCGTAGTGGATGAAGATTGAAGCTTGGGCTCCATTTGGTTTGGGCTTGGAGTCCCAACAGCAATTGATATTTATGAATTTTTATTCAAACAACTCAGTAGAAGAGAAAGTCCGCAACGAAAAAAAAAATCCTTCTCCATAACAATTATAAGCTTATAACTAATCACGAATAAAAATTGGGGGTTAAATGTGGTAAAATTTAAAATTAGTTTATGTAACGATTAAATGTAATCAATTATTTGTTCGTGTGAGTTTACCTCTGAGTATAAGTATTTTTAATGAATATAAAATGGCAAGAAATTGAGGTGACCCAACAGTTGGTTGTGGGATTGAATATACTTGATTATCTTAATAATTTAATATAAATTATTCTACATGCTGTTTGGTTTTGATTTATTTTTTGAAAAATAAATTTTTTTCTCATTTTTGTGTTTTTTGTGTTTTTTTTTTGTTGTCTTTAGTAATTTTTTTTTAATATTTTAAGTAATTTTTTTTTTCTTTCTAGATGTATTTGGATGCATTAAAAAGTAAAATATTTATGAAAACTAATTAAAAAATTTAATAAATACATAATAATATGAAAATATATTGAATATATGTATATATTTATTTTTTGTGTCTGATGAATTTGTTAAAAAAATTCATAAATATTGTAATTTTTAATGTATCTAGATTAAGTGTATCTAAAAAATAAAAAATATAAACAATTTAATTTTTTTTAAAATAAACTTAATTTTATGAAACCAAACGAGTATTAAAACATGAATGACATACACAAATTGACCGAGTCACATTCAGTTTGGTGACGTGTAATTCTCTTGTGCTTCTTTGTTCATATAGGGGGTGTTTGGTGTGGTTTTTTTGAGCCAATTTATAATTTTTAGTTTTTAAAAAGTTATTTTGGACTGTTTGGTTAAACTTATTTCAAACGATTCTAACAACTTATTTTAAGTCAAAAAAGTTGATTCTGAGAAGCTGCTCACCCCTTACTTCTGATTATCAGTTTCTGCTGTGGACATGTTAATTCACGATTACCCAAATAGACTATAAACTATTATTATTATTTTTTATGAGAAATGTAGACAAATAGTGAATAATAAAAAATAAAAATTAATTGAAAAAGCTACTTCACAGCTTATTTAACAAACACTACTCAATAACTTAAATCTATAATCCAACAGTTATATCAAACAGATTAACAGCTTTTGATTAAAGTCATAATTTATAATCTGTTAAGGTATAATCTATAATCTGTTTTAACAGTTATACCAAACAGGACCATAGTGATCCAAAAGACCCAAAAAAACTGTTTCTAAGAAGTTGCTCACCCCTTGCTTCTGATTATCAGTTTTTGCTATGGACATATTAATTCATGGTTATACTCATATATTTTTTTTATTTTTTTTAAAAATAGAACAAGACCCAAATGGATTATAAAATATTATTATTATTTTTTATGAGAAATGTAGACAGATAGTGAATAATAAAAAATAAAAGTTAATTGAAAAAATTACTTTACAGCTTATTTAACAAACACTAATCAACAACTTAATTTATAATCTAACAGTTATACTTAACAGATTAACAGTTTTTGATTAAAGTCATAATTTATAATCTGTTAATATATAATCTATAATCTGTTTTAATAGTTACACCAAACAGGACCATAGTGATCCACTTTGAAATGCTGCACGAGTCATTTTATATTTATTATTAAACTTTTTTTCCACTAGCAAATCTTTTAAATTTAAGTATTTTTACTGAATAATATATAATGACTGACCTAACGGTTTGGTTGTGGGATTTAATAAACTTAATTATCTTAATAAATTAATATAAATTATTCTAAATATTCTGAAAGAGTAAACAACAACAATAATATTAAGTGGGAATTCGTCCCGTTTAGCAAGTGAGTTTTTATATGGGAACTTTTTTGATAAATTCATTTTCTAAGAGCTTTATTCCACCAAACTCATATTCTTTTTGACTATTCCATTAGGTCCAATTTGAGATAAGAAGACTATAAATGGATTAAAAAATTCCTTCATGGACTTCTTGGGTTAAAGCACTTCTAAATTGGACTTATCAATAAAAATCCCTTTTTATATACTCGACCTTTTTGGGCAAGTGGTTACAAGTAATTTTTTTGATTTTTAATCTTTTTTGAGTCATAATAGTTCTCTATTTTTTTTATTTTTTATTTTTACATTTTTTTAAAAAAATAAGTCAAAAAATTAACTTTTAACTTACTTTTCAAAACAATCATTTGACTAAATTAGTTATAAAAAGACAAAACAAACTAAAAAGTCAATAAGACAAAATATCTTATCTAAATCATAATCATTTTACTTTTTCTTTCATAAAAATTAAAAAAACCAACCCAAATGAATTTTTTAGTTTCAAGCAAAAAAAATCAAAAAGTCAAAAAGTCAACTCACTTTCCAAACGAAGACTATTATACTTAATTATCTTAATAAATTAATATAATCTATGTTCAATTTGAAAGAGTAAACAACAACAATAATATTAAAATCCGAATAGAAAGGACAAATGGAATGTGAACAGTTGTAAATTCAAATATCTTAGCCAAGAAAATTCCCAAATGATATCTATTAATCAAATCAAACTATAACGATGCTTTGGGTTGCTAAAAGATTTGGTGGAAATTAATAAGCATATTCATGAGTAATGTTGTAACATTTTAATAAAAATTGAAATGTAAAAATATATTAATTAAGCCTCATTTAACAATTCAATATTTTAGTGTAAAAGTAAAAAAATTATTAAAAAAAATTAAAAAAAACTAATAATTTATATAAAAAAGTCAAAATTTTTATTTTTTTCTCTACTTTTTACATATATTTTTGTAAATAATTAAAAAGTCATTTTAAACATATTAATTTTTTTTATCTCATATTTTAATTACAAAATTAAAAAGTTACTAATTGTGTCAGTTTATCTGGGTATGGCATGTGTAAAGAGAGTTTAGAATAAATTATGAATTTTGCTGCAATTATTTCACCTAAAAACGTCAACATCATTAAACAATAGGAGAAATTACTTAATAATCAATTATGGACTAGATTATGATCATTCAACCAGAGCATGGACGAGTGACAAATGGGGAAATTCCTTTAAATTACTTTCATTTTTTTGTGTGTGTGGCCCATGGGCGTTGAATAATTGCTCCCCAAAAAATAGTTGCTCTGTAGCTCGCAAAATAACAAAAAATTAGTTATTGAATATAATGCCTATCTAGAAATGGATGATACTATGTGGTGTTTTGAAAAGTTAATAAAAAGTTAATTTTTAATTTTTTTTTTGTAATTTTTTAGCTTTTTTGTGTTAAAAAACTGAATTTTTTTATGTAAAAAAGTTAAAAAAATCAGAAAACTGATTTTTACTGCTTTTCCAAAACGCCCCTATATAAGATGTGTTAACTCAGTTTTGAATAGGGGTGAGCAGCGGATATACCGACCCGTCCAAATCGATCGAACCAAATTGATCTGTCGCGTTTTGACGGATGCGTGATGACGAGTGAACGGTTGCGGATTGATTTTTTTCAAACTTCAAACTCTTTTTGTAATATTCTAAAATTTCAAACTCTCTCTGTGGATGAGATAAGTAGTGATTGTAATAATTTTTTAAGTCATTGACTATAATACTTTTTTTTTTTTTGAGGAAGTGTATAAGTTGAATTATGTTGAAAATTTTTAAAATTTTAAACTGCTAAACCGATTCGCATCCATCCGCCAATCCGCTAATCTGCTCAATCCACATCCGTTGGATTGGCGGACGGATGCGGATTGATTTTCTCCAATTCGCCAATCTGGCGGACGGATGGTGGATTTGAGATTTTGTGACCACAACCGACCTGCGCCCATCCCTAATTTTGAATGCAATCAATGATTTTTCTTCCTAAAATTCATGTACGTCTGAACTCCTATTGTGATTGGTAAAAATTTCAAAATAGAAAAAATATAAGATGCTAAAAATGCATAAGAATAAAATAAATGAATCTAGGGATAAGATCCCATGATCTATCAATACATATAAAGAATTAAATTATAAAAAAATAAACATATCAGTATAATTGGACTCAAGTCCACATCCATTTTGTAATTCAAGATTAATTTTCTCAAAACTGATGACAGGGAAGTCCACGTCGGCACAGGTCTTCGTGCTTGCGTCCAACAACAATACCACCGAATAACCAACTGAAGTGTCTCCTCTCCTCAAATGCTGCAGCACTTGTTGATGTTTATATAACACAAGTATATATATATATATATA